ACATTATATGGACACTTTTTTACAGAGAATTTGATGACGTAGTCAAAAAAATTTTTTCGGTTTTAGATTTTGAGATATTATCACAATTTTCGTTTTTTTAAATGGAAACAACCACTGATTATTCGCTTATTAAATTCGTTATTTTTTTCTGATTACAAAAATATAGGGTTCGACAGGTCTATTTCTTATTGTTTTAGAATAAAGCCAAAAATAAACTTTTTTTTTAAATTTCCATCTAGTGTCATCGACGAAATTAAATTTACAGTTTCCTGTAAATTATGGTACTATAACTAAAAATTAAAAAAACAAATTTCTGATGTTTGAAACAAATAAATTTGTTGAACTATTTAATTTATATATGTTTTACACAAAAGTTGGAATAGATTGCATTATTTCACATTTTTTATTAATATTTAATATTATTATTAAATGATTTAATAAATTATTGATAGATGGCGCTCATATATTTTTCTTTTGAATTCAAATAAACATAGCAACATTTGTTTGTATTCAAAAAGTGTCACTTTAAAAATCCTGTTTTAAAGATGAATTACGAAAACTTTGAAAAGTTTGACATGTTAGAATGTTACATATTACAAAATAAAAGTAGTGAATTGGCTGCAGAGTTGTATTTTAATAGATACCCGGAAAGAAGGCAGCCAAATGCGAAAATATTTAGTCGTTTAGAAAAAAATTTAAAAACATTCGGTTCTTTTAAAAAGCCTAGACCAAAATCGTATTATAAAGAAAATGAAGACGAAGAAATAAATGTTTTAGCGGCAGTTACAGCAAATTCGTCGATATCAAGCCGCGAAATGGAGAATGATCTTGGTATTTCCAGAAATCGCTGTCTTCGTGTTTTACATAAACACTGAGAAAAACTTTGTGAGTAATTCAAAAATCGACAAATTCTGTTTCGAATGGTTTGTGAAAATTAGAAATCAAAATAGTGCCCTATCAGGACCGTTGGTAAAGAAAAAAGCAAAGAAAATTGCAGAAAAATTGAGGGTGAGTACCTTTAAAGCGGGTAGGTGGTTACAAAAGTAGCGTTTTAGAAATAATGTTAAAAAATATCGCTTCCAAAGATTTACTGGTTACCTGGAAATCAAACAAAAAAGTATTATACCCATTATACCCAATTTTAAATTTTATTATCTTGATTTAATAGATTCTAAATTATCAAAATCTATTGATATATTAGAGAGCTTGTATTTTATTAAATCTGCGTGGCAGAAGATCACAGAGACAATTAGAAATTGTTTTAACAAAGCTGCATTTCCGATGGATCAAGGAAGTTCAACTGACAGTGACTACGACGTTGAAGATAATTTGCCACTCGCGAGACTAACCGATTTGCATAAATGTAGTAAAAAACTGGGGATAGATAATGTAAAAACAGCAAAAGAATATTTAACTGTAAACTTGGAACTTGGAATTTTCGGTAGAGACAGAAAATGTTGAAATTGAGGCAAAAGAGGAAGAAGATGAGGAGGTGAAGGAGGAATGTATTTTATAAAGAAGCATTGAATGTAATTTCCAAACTAAAATCATTCGTTATTCGAGAATGATAATACATATGTGTATGTACAGGTGGTTCAAATTCGATGTCCGAATAGGCTATCTCGGAAACTATAAGAGTTAGAAAAAAAGTAGCTCACATGTCTCGATCTCTTTTTTTAAATAAATTCCAAAGTCGAAAACCTCAAAGCGCTATCGTCTTTTGTTTTTCCCCTAGAGGCCAAAATTGAAGATACCGTAAAATTATATTACGATTATTATTATAGGTGGAGTATTATAACTAAGACATTGTCCATATAATGTCTTTTCTACAGCAAATTTGATGACGTAGCCAAAAAAAAATTTTCAGTTTTAGATTTTGAGATATTATGACAATTTTCTGTTTTTTTAATGGAAACAACCACTGATTATTCGCTTACTAAATTCGTTATTTTTTTCTGATTACAAAAATATGGGGTTATATAGGTCTATTTCTTATTGTTTTAGAATAAAGCTAAAAATAAAGTTTTTTTAGTGTCGTCAAAGAAATTAAATTTACAGTTTCCTGTAAATTTTTATTTTCTAATATGTAACATTCTAACGTTTTAAACTTTTCGTAATCCATCTTAAAAAATAGGATTTTTAATTTTACACTTCAAAACATTTTTGAATACAAACAAATGTTGCTATGTTTATTTGAATTAAAAAAATAATAAAAAAATATATATGAGCGCCATCTATCAATAATTTATTAAGTCATTTAATAATAATATTAAATATTAATAAAAAATGTGAAATAAAGCAATCTATTCCAACTTTTGTGTAAAACAAATATAAATTAAATAGTTCAACAAATGTATTTGTTTCAAATATCAGAAATATGTTTTTTTAATTTTTAGTTATAATTTACAGGAAACTGTAAATTTAATTTCTTTGACGACACTAAAAAAAAGTTTATTTTTAGCTTTATTCTAAAACAATAAGAAATAGACCTATCAAACCCTATATTTTTGTAATCAGAAAAAAATAACGAATTTAATAAGCGAATAATCAGTGGTTGCTTCCATTTAAAAAAATCTATTTCCTGATAGCGCAGAGAGATATTTGATCAGAAGTGGTTGTACTTGACAACATGGTTCTTATATGCTTTCAAACATAATTTCAAACATCAGTTCTTTTTTTAAATGTTAATCAACATCTCTCATTAGTAGTAGCGAAATTTAAATACCCTTTAAGATCATCATGATTAAGATTTCTTTATCTTCTCCTAAATCTTCGTATTAAAGTTCCCTGAAAAATTTTGAGTTTAGGATACAAGTTTCCAAGGATATTGTCTCTTGAAAGAATAATTATGGAATTGGCCAAAAGTCAATTATGATTTTAAAATACCTGAAAACAGGAAAGGAAAAATTAGGAAAAGATAAAAAAAAATTAATTCAAAATAATTTCTAGATGAAACTAATATTTACGAAAATTATAAAAAAACTTAAATCGCAAATTCCGAGAAACTCCCTAAAATAACATGATATAAATCAATCAATACAACTTCAAAGAAGTTTAAAAATATCTTAAGTTACCAAGAAGTTTCTAGAATAATCTTGAAACTTCATAATCTTATTGGAATCATCTTACACACAAAACGATTTTAAAAAACTATTAAAAACCATTAAAATCAAGAAGTATTTCTAACCTGAAATTGTGAATCCTGATTATAATAAGTTTTAACCAGCTGATTAACATATTCCCAAACCCCTTCGGCAATTGCCCCACTGTCACAAACTGTGGCCGGGGACACTTCGTGACGCACCATTGCGAACAAAAAAAAAATTTTGCGCTTTATTTATTGTTATGAATTTCCGACTATTTACGTAAGTAAATCCAACACGTGTTATTTTACGTCCGAAGTGGACGGAGCGCGGCTTCCTACTGAAGTCTCTTACACAAGTTACACAGCAGCAGACACAAGTAAGCGTCGCGCGACTTGGGTGTTTGGTGTCGCGCTATGAATGAGTAAGCGCGAGCGACCCCTTGTGGCGCAAACGCCCCCCAATAAATAATTACTCAAATAGAAAAGTCTTTTAAAAGGCGTCGCGATGTCTGTGAGTCAACAAAAATAAATCAAAATAATTCTTACCTTATTTCCACCTTTTCCCTTAACTTTCTTAGCAGCAACATTCTCCTTTTTATTATTTACAGTCCCAAGATCCTTTTTAACACCAACTTTTTTTACATTACTCGGAGGAGGAGGAGGTTCGGGGGGTCGCGACCGTAACTTCCGCACTGGTTGGGGCCGTTTTGGAACCGTTTCTTTATTACAAACGGCCGGTGAAGCGTCACTTTTATCCGAGTCACTATCGGAATCACTACTACTCGATAACGAACGACACTTCGCCGACAAAATCTTTGTTTCGGATGGTTTTGGTTTCTCGGTAGGACTCGTACAAGCTTTACTGATGGTTAAGCGCAGGCTGTTTGCTTGGGTACTCGTCACCGAGAATTCCGGGGATGGTGGTCTCGAATTTGAGTCTTGACTTGATGTTGAAGTGTCTGAATTTGACGAGTCGGAGTGTGACGACGATTCCGATTCATCACTACCAGAGTTCTAAATTAAAATAAAAAAAAATAAAGTTTAATTCAAGAATCATCATGTCGCTTAAAAATCGACCCATTACAAATTAAAAAAAAAGGTACAGATAAGTATAAAATTTATCAAAAAATCACTTTAAAGTATCGTCGTGACGTTACTTTTTGTGAGTCGCATTTGGTTAAAACGCATATTTTCGGGTGAAACACTAAAATGTCGTTATCTATAAACTAAAAATACCTGAATGCGAGATACTGTTGGCAAAAGACTAATTACTGCTATCAGAAGATTAAATACTGCTAGTAAAAGACTACAAATTGCTTAGAAAGAGGAAATACAATTTCAAAAAGTTACCTACTGCCTCTAAAATGCTAGATATTGCAGAAAAAGACCACAGCTTACTTGGAAGAGACTAGATACTGTTTTCAAAATAATACCTATTGCTTCCAGAACGCTAAACACTGCTGCTAAAGGTTTTGACCTACTTGGACAGGCGGAATACTGCTTCCAAGAGTACTTATTGCTTTCAAAGACTTTAATAATTGTTTGGAAAAGAGATATGCTTTCCAACAAGCTACCTACTGCATCCACAATGTTTGGTACTGCTGGAAAAGGCTAATAACTACTTGGAAAAAAGAGATATGTTCACCAAAAAATGTACCTACTGCTTCCAAAATGCTAGATAGTGGTGGAAAAATTACAATCTCTTTGGAAAAGACTAGATAGTGCTAACAAATAACTACAAACTGATTGGAAAGAACTAGACCTAAACCTAGAACTAGAAATATTCTGGTTTAGTCGTCTTGAGAGACGTGCAGCTAAACCCTTCTACCATTGTAAAGCAATTTTTAATTACCGATTATGCCACGCGATAAGAGTATCTGAAAATGTATTTGCTTTACTTTCGCAAACATTCAGAATATTTAATGCTCCAATAACAGCTAAACTTGAAACTACTAATGCAATAATTATTGTAACATGCTGCTTAAACAATATGCTACTATATCTGCAGAAAAGAAATCAAATATATAACCATGAAATTGAATAACATGTTCCTTATTGCTAGGGCAGGAGGATTTGCCAATGTCGCAGGCTTCGAAGTTATAGATCAGTTTAAACACTATCTAGATACACATTCTACTGATTTTTCATCTTCTTCAGAAGTAAAATGAAACTTTGAACCCATTTTGAAACATAAATCGTATACTATAATACGGTAAATCCCCGCAAATACTCAAAACGCACCCAAGACTGCTTTGCGTTAAATGACATTCATAGGAAATCTATTACATTTGACTAGCTTGCATCGGTGATTAAGCGTCGAACGCATGCGTAAGACGCGCTTAGGAAATCCCACCTTAAACCTGAATGTTTCTAGTTTTAGTACACTAGCACTATCACTAGAACTAACACTAGACTGAGAACCAGAAACATTCGGATTTAGCCTCACGTCTCTCAAGATGGCTAAACCCAAATGTTTCTGTGCCGCACGCCTAAAAATAATTTTGATGTTTTTTGAAAGAGTTTCGACGCGCAACTAAGAAAAAACTTTCAAGTGTTAATGTCAACTTTAATTTTATTATTATATTCGTAATCTTTATAAAATAACCTTTAAAATGAGTCCAAACATGATGCACTTATCTCAAAAAACAAAAAAGTTAGAATAAAAACTTTAAACCCGAAGTTAGCAACAATGAAGATAGCAATTTAATTTTTAAATATTAATACCAACCTTAATTTCTGAATTTTTTTATTATATTTTTGTTTTTGTGACAAATTTTAAGACATTTTATAAAATTAAGAATATATCAAAATGACATTGACATTTCAAACCGGAAGTTGCTTATATCTCGAGTAATATTGAAATTAAACGTATCATGTTTGGGCTTATTTTAAACGATTTTTCACGACGATCACAAATATGTTAAAATTAAGGTTGACATTTCTAACCGGAAGTTGACCATAACTTCATTAATATTGAAGACAAATATGTCGTGTTTGTACTCACATTAAAGGATTTTTAACGAAGATTACTAATATAGTTTATTTTTTTCTATAATACCTGTCAAATTGTTGTAACATTGGCAAAATTAACAGGGAGTTTTGTTTTATCATGTTTTGAAATAAATATGTCACACTGAAGTTTGAGCTTTATAAAAAATGTTGTAGGGTGTTTATTTGTCATTTATTTACGTTGTTTATTTATGTACTACTTTGTAGCACGTTTTTACAACAAATATGTACTTCGTTAAAATCGTATTTATCTAAAAATTTATTAACATTGTAACCTCAACTATTTAGTTACTGAAAATGTTACTAAAATTCAGGAAAACAACATAAATTTTATAAGGGTCCTAGATAATACCAACAGAAACCCTAAAAAATTTACATTGACAAGTATTATAGAAAAAAAAACGTACTATATGTCAAAATTGAGGTTGACATTTTACACCTGAAGTTAGTTATCAGTTATCATATAATGGACAACTTCATGGTGTTCTTTCATGATGTGTTCTTTATTAAAAAAACCTTTAAAATGAGTGCAAACATGATGGATTTATCTCAAAAAACAAAAAAAGAGAATAAAAAACATGAACCTTGAATGTTTCTGGTATTAACACAGAATCTATTGACACACACTCTATCTAATGACAGGTGGTCAGTCTTTATGCATCAAAAACTTAAGAAAAAAAGGGTGTTTCATCTGTAATCTCACCTAGTTTAGTGAAAATAACTTTACTTTAAGTTTATCAGATTAATTTTGTGCTTGGCTATAAAATAAACAATTTGTAGGTTAGGTTAGAATTGCTTGAAACTTTAATGTGATTTTTTGGTATATTCTACACTTTTTCTTCATTTTTAATGTGTTTCTTGGGTCATTTCACATTGATTAAATTAAATTATTTAAAATTTCCCTTTAAAAATCTAAATTAATAAATGAATTTATCTTCTTACATTTGTGTCTGAGTCTGAATCACTTTCAGAATCTGATGATTCCTCAACTTGGGTGCTATTTGGAGGTGTTGTGTTTAATTCAGAGCTGAAAGCAGCCATGTCCACGGTGCTGGGTAACTCTGATGGTTCGGGTTCCTCGCTGGGTGTATGTACAACATAAGACCAACGAGAAAGTAAGTCTCCAACCGCTTCTGTTCCAGCCATGATTATTTACCTGGATTTTAANCCAAGAGCACGCGAGCAAAAATGCTTCGATGGCATATCCTGCAGCGATATAGCCACTTAAGACGCGTTCAGATTTAAAAACCCGTGCTCAGTTTGTTTTGAGTATATCATGTTAATATCAGCGATAAATTACGGAAGCAATAAGTGACGTTCTTGACACGCAACGAGTGGGTTAGTGAACGGAATTGATGACGTCGGCACTCGAAATCTCTTGCTTACTAATGAGCATCTAAGAGCATCTAAGTCATTAACATGCCTAATTTCAATTTACAACACGAAGCACGATTAAAAATTATTTATTACATTTAATTGAGACATCATTTATCAGATACCTGAAAAAGTTATTTTTCAAATATGATCACAAAAATCCAAACTAGAACTTACATCAGACCTAGAACTAGAAACATTCGGTTTTTGCCGTCTAAAAGAGACATACGGCTAAACCCGAACGATTCTAGTTTTAGGTCTAGTGTTAGTTCTAATGCTAGTGTTAGTTGTAGTTTTAGTTGTTATTCTATTTAAACGACTCTTAAGACGACAAGACCTGAATGTTTCTAGTTCTAAAACCTGAATCCTTATCATTTAAATTGACATATCTTGGATTTTTGGACGCCTAAGTTGAATAACAACAAAAACTAGAACTAACACTAGACCTAGAACTAGAATCATTCGGGTTTAGCCGTATGTCTCTTGAGACGGCTAAACCCGAACATTTCTAGTTCTATGTCTAGTGTTGGTTCTAGTTTTAGTTGTTATTCAGTGTTAAATTGTGGTAGAAGTTCCAAACAACAATTCAGAGAAATACTAAGAAAATTTAATTAAATGGAGAATCAAACACGTAAAAGCACAAGGAATACTAGTGGAATGGAGGAACCTCCTATGATACACATGTGGGAAAAATCATGAGGCGAAAGCATGTCAGTTTTTCTAGCAAAGTTTGATGAAATTGCTATCCAATTAAAACAGATAGAGGAACCAATTTCCGATGAAATGAAATGTTACTGACAAAAATAATCATGTCGTTTCCAGAACCGTACAAACATTTTGTCTCTGCATGGGAGTCAGTTCCATGGAACAATCAATCAATATGTGAATTAACATCATGGTTGTTGGTTGAAAAGATGAGCAGAAAATGATAAAATGCTTTCAATGCGGAAAATTTGGACACATTAAACAAAATTGTAAGAAGAAAAAAGAGGATAGAACATGTTATATTTGTAGAAAAACAAGGTCACATTGCAAAAAAATGCTGGTTTAAAGATCAAATAAACAACAAACAGAATGAGAAATCTAATAACAACAATAAAGTCATAAGCACAGCCTTACTAAGTGAGACAATAAATAAGACAGATTCGATATTGGACAGTCGTGCAAGCGATCACATGTGTTGCCAGGTAGAACAATTTGTAAAAATGGAAACATTTTTTTTTTCATTGGAATCTGCAAAGAAAATAAAAATTGGAGCTGGAAATATCTTAGATGCTCCAGCAGAAGGAAGAATTCGGTTAAAGGCGGCATTCAATGGATAGGATTGGGAAATGGTACATTTGAAAAATGTTTTGTATGTACCATAAACGACTTGCCCACCATTCAAAGCCATACACGTGACAATTGTTAAAGCGCCATAACATCCATTATGAAGATTCTGAATTTTTTGTGAAGGTTTTGTTGAAGGAAAGCAACATAGAAATCCACATCCAAGAAGTGAAAGTAGAAGGAAATTTCCAGGTGAATTGGTACATGTAGATCTTTGTGGACCAATAGAACAACAATCGTTGGGAGGGTCAAGGTATTTTAGGTTATTAAAAGACGATTTTACAAACTTTAGAACACTATTTCTTAAAACATAAATACGAAGTAAAAGAAAAATTGATTGATTTTGTAAAGAAAGCAGAAAACTATATTGAAGACAATACAAATAATAAGGAATTTACATGTAAACCAGTTCAGCAAATTTTAACGAAATACAGAATCAGACACCAAAGAACAATAACATACATACCACAACAGAGCGGTAGAGCTGAACGAGAAATGAGAAATGACAATGCTGAAAGAAAAAAGTTTGGAATAGTGTTTGAGCTGAAGAAGAGAATACTGCAGCCTACACTCTGAACAGATCAGGAAAAAGTACAATACCCAAGAAAACACCTTATCAGTAAAGGATACATATATGTCCCGAAGCAAATGGGATAGTAAGAATAAAAAGGTCTTATTCATGGTATATGAAGAGGATACTAAAGGATACAGAGTTTATTATGAAGAAACGAAACGAATCGAAGTTGCTAGGGATATCATTTTCAAACCAGACGTTTAAAATAAAAATATTGAAAATTAAGAAAGAAAAAAACACGAGAACAAAGAAGAAGATTCAACAGAGGTAATAGATACAGAAGAAGAAGATAGTGAACAAGAAGAAAACGTTGAAGTTGAAGACATAGGTAATAATGATGAGATAACTGAAGAGGAGGTATCTATAAACATGAAATACCTGAAACATAAGAAAAAGAAGAAACCACAAGATGAAGAAATAGAAGATCACTAAAAAGATCAATTAAATACAATGATTATGAGATCTGTTTGATGCCATGGAGAATACCGAAAAGAAAAACTGGGAAAAAGCAATAAAACCTGAAATAAACAGTCTTCAAGAAAATGAAACTTGGGAGGAAGTAGATAGACCAAAGAATGAAATTTTGGAATAGCTGCAAAATGGGTTTTCAAGATAAAAGAAATTGAAAACCCGAAACAATACAAAGCGAGATTGGTAGCAAGAGGCTTTTTGCAACATGACATCGTTTATAGCGATATCTATACTCCAATAGTAAAACTGCAAGCAGTTA